TGACCTCCCTCCCTCCGGCCCTATTCAAATTCCACTCGTTAGATTCCAGCAATCGAATCATTTAGAACCTCACAATGACTCTGGGCCAAAGACGTATAACAAAACGTACGTGCTTACAATTCAGGGACATTTAATGTAACTGAACTCAGTATTATTGCAACTTCATATCCCATCCAATCAATCAAGTGAACACAACTCATTAGTGATGTGACGGAAAAATGACACGAGACTTGGAACTCTGAACATGTGGTGTCTGTGTAGGGCTGTGTAGGGCAGTCACTGAAACTAGTACGAAGAGAATTAGCAAAGTCAAATACAATTTAGATGCAGTGGGTATGTATGACATGTGGGAAGGTGTCGCTGAATCTGTGTAGACAATCATGTATTTTTTCTATCAAAGCAATAATAAAAATCACTTAGAGCAGGCCATTTCATACAAAAGTAACGAGGTCAGATGTTAAGAGGGCCGAATTTATTATTCCCAGGGTCACATACAGAATACTAAGAGGTAATTGGTGTGCCTGAGAAGAGCTCAATTGCAAATAAATATTACAACATAACTTTCAAGAGGAACTAGAGAGTTCATTACCATATGCAAATGTTGTTAGATTTCATGAAAATGTAACAAAATACAGGATTTTCAAACTCAAACTGGGAATGGCGGTTGATAAATTATTAATAAGAGTGGATCGCAGGAGGATATGTTCTATCTTATGGGACTGATACTGTGTAGCCCACATAAGATAAACTGACATTTCAGAGGTTGAAGACCAAAGCAAGCAAGAACCCAGCACGAAGCAGAAAGCCATGGTTGGTAGCATTAACATGGCAGACGACAAAGAAGTATAGATTCAGATTACTTGGTTCACCTGTTACGGTACCCACACTGCTTACCTTAGTATCCCTATGCTCAAAGCAGTCCTGTCACACTCTCTCAGCATGTGACTGGAGAGCACTTCAGCAACAGGTGCACACACTCAGTATATAACTGAGACATCCTCTGGATTTCCTTAGTCCCTCCACCCAAATGTCAGGATAGTACCTCAGTTAGGCCATGGGCACTTCCTTCCAATTCATCAATCACCATACTACCCCTGTGATACATAGTCACAATACTGTCGCATTGTATCAGGGGCAGTCAAATGAAAACGGGTCAGAAGCCAAAACATATTAAAGAACATTTCTTACCTCAAAAGTAATCTCCAAAACTGTTAATACATTTATCCCACTGGGAGATAAGACGGTCAATCCCTTCCTTGCAAAAGCTTGTGGGCTGTCTACAGAACCACATCTTTGTCCAATGCAAACCGATGTCCATGAATGTCTCTTCAGGTCTCCAAAAACGTGAAAATCACATGGTGAGATCTGGGCTGTAGGGGAGATGTTGAAGCACTTCCCAACCAAATCTCTGTAGTGTATTCCCCACAGAGTTGGCACTGTGGGGGCGTGCATTATCATCAAGAAGGATAATGCCGTTTGATAGCATTCCAGGGCGTTTTGACTTTATGGCATGTCTCAGTTTCTGCAAAGTGTCTCCATAGGGCTGTGCACTGATTGTGGCACCATGCTCGAGAAATTCGACTAGCAGAGGGCCCTTGCAGTCGAAGAAGGTCGTCATCATCATCACTTTACTGGAACTTGTGTGTACTGCTTTGGATTTCTTCAGTGGGGGAGAATTCACGTGTTTCCACTGTTGGCTCTGCCGTTTGCTCTCAGGTTCAAAATGGTGGCACCAAGTTTCATCCCCAGTGGCTACGCAGGATAGAAAAGCATACTCTTCCTCATGGTATTGTTGCAAGTGACCCAGTGATCCAGCTATCCTCAGAGTCTTCTGCTCCTCCGTGAGTTGACGTGGAACATGCTGCATGCAGTTTTCTTGTCACAATAGCATGTACGGAACCGTGACTTATTCCCATCAAAAGACTAATTTCTTCCACAGTGATCCGTCAGTTTGCCCAGATATGTCCATTCAACGCAGCAATAACATCAGGTGCGATGACATTGTGAGCCTGTCCTAGGCCAGCATCATCTTGCAGTGACACATGTCCCTCTCAGAATCTCTTTATGCCAAGACAGAACACGCAAACGTGGCATGCTGCGTTCGCCGTAAACAACAGACATATGACTATAAATTTCTAGTCCTCCGACTCCTTCAACAGTCAAAAAGGGCGCTACACTTCGCTGTTCTTCTTTACCTGCCTCTATTACTAATGTTGGACGACGACACATAGCGCTAACCATACTTCCAGCACAATAAACAAACGACTAGTGTGCAAGGGCACGTTGTCACTGTGCTTTCCCGAGTGCCCACCAAATGTTCGTACCGTAAGCAAATTCCAGTGTTATTGTAAGTTGCGCGTCGTGTGACTTATGCGTGGTGACCCATTTTCATTTGACTGCCCCTTATAAAATAAAAGAGTGTGCAGTAAGTCACTGACTGCATGCAATGAGAATTTTGTCTTGTTTCCTTCACTTAACGGCAGAGCTCAGTTGAGTAAGAGATATGTGCGAATGGTAAGTTGCAAAGGATATGGAAGGCTCTTACCAGACTGTTACTGGTGGTCATGACAAATGCAATGAGTAAACCAAAACATGAAAATATGGCACTAAGCAATGCTCCACACTTATATACAAGAGGAGACTGGTATGAATATTCTTGGGAACCTGCGGCCTCCATTTCAGGCAGACTACCCACAATATCAAACCCCAGAAGACAGTAATCTAAATATTCAATGGATGTTCAGAAACTGGCTCAACAAGTTGAAGTATGCCTTCAATGTGATGGCTGTCCCACTGAATTTGCCTATAAACACTTAAAGTTCACATTTTAGGGCAACTTTACGTTACTTTGTATTTCGGACTTCTTTATAGAGGCTCATTATGCCACATATTAGAACAGCTATTCTCAATCTTTCTGGTGTGTGTACAAACATCCGCTCCGTAAAAAAAAAACAAATCTAATTTCCAATCTACATTTTAGTATGGATCCTCTGAAATTAGAGTTTAACTGAATATGCAGATCATTAACTTGAAAAGTTCTAAAACGACAGTTTCACTACATTCTCTGTTGAGTGGTGAACCTCTGGTCCACACGGTACATACACCTTAGGCATAGACACATGCATTTTCGATAACATAATTACTAAAGCCAGTAATAAAATCCACATCTAAAATTTATGTAGGCACATTCAAGTGACTTATGTGGCCGCGCCATAGCTAAAGCGGTTAGTCGCTGGCTTTCCACCATGGCAGCCCAGGTTTGATCCCAGGTCTGGTCAAGTGGAAATTGTGGTGGACAAAGTGGCGCTGGGGCAGGTTTTCTCTGAGTACTTCGGTTTCCCCTGCCAATATTCATTCCACCAAATTCTCCATCATCATAATCACCTGGGGCAGGCTTCAATAGACCAAAAGTGGCCGCCGTGCAGAGTGGACCCAGTTGGACTCCACCCTCCACTAAGCGAATTTAATTTTTTGGAGTAGGAAAACAAGTCAAGGCCTAAAATGATGCTCAAGCCTGCACTGACAGATATTCTGTGTATACCTTGCATAAATTCCATTCAGTGTAGTAAATTCACAAAGTGTGCACAGTGCCCATGAAGCACAAATGCCCTTACCTGGACAATGTGCGAGTGAGGGTAACTGCAAAATTACGGAGCAGCAATTGTGCCGCCTACTCAAACAAACCAACGCCTCCTCTCATTGAGGAGGAGAGCGTATTTCCAAACACATGAATGGTTTTGCAAAGAACAAAACTTCAACCATATTTCCTGATGGCGCCTGAAACCAAGAACAACTTTGCTGGTGAAAACCAGCAGCAATTTCGTGGATTATACTGGACAAATGACTTACACGGACTGGACAGCCAAGGGTTCGAATTTTGATTCCAGGTAGGGGTATGAGTTTTCACCAGTCCTGGGACCCACCCAGCCTCCTATCCAACTAGTACTGAGGTCTCTTCCAATGGGGGTAAAGGGGACCGGGGATGTGAAGCTGACCACTCGTCTCTGTCTAGTGTCGAAGTGAAGAATGGTGGGGCTATGCTTCCACTGCTCCATGTTTTCATGGCATGGTGGTTAATTACTTAAGCACATGGACAACTTTACCTTTTCCCTTAACTTATGTGAAGGGTGAATGCCATTCAACCCCACAGTGTCAAGGAGGAAGAACCATGCGTCTCTGGCCCATCTTAGCAATGTTAGCATATGATATGACATGCAAACAGTAGGAGCACACTGACAGTGAAATGCACACAATCTCCACATCCTTCTGTTCCGCATGGTTTATACGAGTAATATCTATGCCAAAAGCACATGTGAGCTGATTAAATGCTGCGCCCCAGCAAGACTGACCCTGTATCAACTGTACTGTGCTCACATTATCTCAGTATTCCATTAATTACCAACATACAGCATGACAACATACAGGTACACTCATGGCACAACCAGACTTCATTATAATCCAATTCAACAATGAACATTACAAACAATTTGATGATATGATGAGTATATTCGTGCAGCGTTGCTCTCTATACTCATATCCAAACACTCCAGTCGATTATCAGTGGGGACACCGGCTGTACCGAATGACTCTTTCCGGGTTATTCTTTAGTTACTGAAGGTAAAAATGTCACGAATGCTTTGTTTCAAATCTTTCCAAGTCAACCACTTATGAAGCATTATTCCAACCAATGCTATGTAGCCTAAAATACTAAGAGCATAATAAAATAAACCCTAAATAGCACACGCTCGCCAGAACACTAATACACTTGTACAATACCTGTATATTCTAAAGGCATCTGGAATCGCTGGATTTTTGGACTTTGTCCTTTGTCCTGCTAGAACAAGCTCTTTCTAATGGACCCAGCAGAGTAGTTATGCCCCCCTCCCGCAAGAGAGGACTGAAATAGACACAGTTTCTGAAATGCTACATTCTCTTGTTTTTTGAACACCAGACAATGAACACAATCCAAAAACCCAGCAAGTGATTCTGAGTTATATACACTCCTTCAGTTAAGGTACAGGCTTCTAGGTCGGATTCAGTGTGTCACTGTTATTCTGCCCATCTTCTTTCTTGTTCACATTTCTTATTCTCCAAGGTCTGAACGGTTATTTGTCTCTTCATCCATCCTTTACACGTCGCTCTGCATTGCTTACTGCATGTCAGTCCCTCTGCTGCATCAGCTACACCAAAAGCCTGTTTAGATGTGCACAGCATGTGTTCAGAATGTGACGTAAAATTTATATACATTAAAAAGTCTCTGAGCTAGTGGGATGAGAGGTCTAAGAAAATAACAACTTCCATTAATGATAACTAACTCAGCTCCCTGGACTTACTTATGTAGCAGTAATTAAACTGGAAACACATACTGGAAAAATAAATTTCTTGGAAGAAGACAAGCTTCAGTCTGGTGGGAATAAGGGGTTTCATAAACTGACTGGCTGCATGCGAGTTACTGCCCTCTGGTATATATACATAGCATACTGTACTACCCCAATGTATATAACAGGAAAACCCGGACTTGCTGACCATTTGAGACAGATTTGGGTTGCTTGAGCAGGATGGAGTCAACACCAAATTCCAGTTCCAGACAATCAATCTAGAAGATCTAATGTCAAATATTAACCAACTTCACACAGATCACCTTTCCAGAGAAGCTACTACTTGCTCAACTACTCAATGAATTACCAAAATGTTATGGAATGCAAGGGTTCATTACCATTCACAGCCAGACACTGGCCCTTATCCTGAGCCAGATGATTTCACTCCATATTCCCTTCTGAATACACAGCATCAGCCTACCTTCACACTTTTCTGAGGACAACTGCAACTTGCAATTGCATTCGTGCGCTGTGCACTAATTTATATGGTGAAGACACACAAAACGGAACACATACTCCAAGACCATGGAGCAGGATCAGTTCCGTAATGCAGCGACACCCAACGTGTGGCGACATATGAGGTAGAGCTCTGCTGATGCAAAGTTATTGAGGGATGAATGCATGGTACATCTTATGCAAAATGAAGCAAGCATTCGTTGGAAAGAAAAGTGTCAGTAATCAGAGATGATTTACTCAGAGTGACCAAGAATTAGCTTCAGTTATGACACAGATCATTCAGGCAGTCAAGAAAATGCGTACGGAGGGAGGGGCATAACTGCACTGAATTTAAGTACAATTAAAAGCTATTCCTCTTGTGTCACTCCACTACATGAAACCTCTGAATTCCAATTCATAATATTAATGTCATTGCCTAATTTTATTAAAGAACATTTCACAATTTTCAGCTGACTCTTTCCCTCTAATGCAAAGGAGACTTAAAGCAAAAAGGAGTGTCTCAGTGCCAAACCACTTTTCTTTCTGATCTCATGACCGCTCAGTTTCTCTGCTGATATTCACAACAAAAAGATGTAAGCAATACTTTCATGATCCTTTTAATTAAATTCTCTGTACTACTTTATTTCTCCACAAGTAGAATCAAACCTTTATTTAACTTTCTTTTTATAATCAATATACCAAGTATACTGCAGAAATATATCTTGTCTGCAATGTCCAATACAGCATAATTTGTATCCATCTGACCAATCCATAACAGTTATCTCAATATACTGAATTCAAGCAATATATCGATCTGAAACTATCTGATCAACAAATTTACTCACATGTAATGGCAGAAGAGCACAGATAACACAGCAAAAAGCACATGATGCTGCTGAATTATGTGTATAAACTGTTGATCCATTTCAGTGATTACACTCTACTAATCATGAGCTTCCAACGCTGAATTAACATAACTGCAGGAGAACGTCATGTCATGTCATGTAATGTGTGTTTCCACTCAACACAAGAGATCCTTGTGCATATTCATCAGCCAGAATCAAATGGAACTCATTTGCATGGATGTTTTGTACCATGGGACTCAGTTCATTATACGTCAGTTAGAAAGGTTAGCAACAGCAATAAACTGCAATATATTGTAGCATTCTACAAAATCAAACCATGCCACACACAGGAAACCTGTCTTACTTACAACATCAAAACTGTGTCATGCTACAACTCACATACTGTTCCTTTAGGCTAAACCCATCTCTACTGCTCTATGATTTACTGCACACATAAACATGTAAGCGCTGATGTCTCTTCAGACTACTCTGATAACTGAATGAATTATTACATACATCACAGCAAAATGGCTGCTCCTGACTTTGTATGCGCTTATGTGCCTTAAGATGACTCTGCTGACTGAATGACTTTTTTCATACATCACAACAAAACGGCTTCTCCCCACTATGTATGCGCTGATGTTTCTTCCAACTACGACGATCACTGAAGGACTTATTGCATACATCACAGCAAAATGGCTTTTCACCACTATGTATGCGCTGATGTTTCTTCCAACTACGACGATCACTGAAGGACTTATTGCATACATCACAGCAAAATGGCTTTTCACCACTATGTATGCGCTGATGTTTCTTCCAACTACGACGATCACTGAAGGACTTATTGCATACATCACAGCAAAATGGCTTTTCACCACTATGTATGCGCTGATGTTTCTTCCAACTACGACGATCACTGAATGACTTATTACATACATCACAGCAAAATGGCTTTTCACCAGTATGTATGCGCTGATGTGTCTTCAGATGACTCTGCTGACTAAATGACTTTTTACATACATCACAGATAAATGGCTTTTCACCACTATGTATGTGTCGATGTATCTTCAGACTAATCTGATGACTGAATGACTTATTACATACATCACAGCAAAATGGCTTTTCACCAGTATGTATGCGCTGATGTGTCTTCAGAGAACCCTGCTGACTGAATGACTTATTACATACATCACAACAAAATGGCTTCTCTCCACTATGTATGCGCTGATGTGTCTTCAGACTACTCTGCTGACTGAATGACTTATTACATACATCACAGCAAAATGGCTTTTCACCAGTATGTATGTGCTGATGTGTCTTCAGATGACTCTGCTTTCTAAATGACTTTTTACATACTTCACAGAAATATGGCTTCTCCCCACTATGTATGCATTGGTGTGCCTTCAGACTACTCTGCTGACTGAAAGACTTCTTACACATGATGCAACAAAATGGCTGCTCCCCACTATGTATGTGCTGATGTGCTATCAGAATTTCCTCTTGACTGAATGAATCACCACACTCATCACAAGAATATTGGCGCTCGTCACCATGTATGGGTTGAAGTTCATTCAAATTACCCTGGAAAATGAGAGTAAATAACATGATAAATCCTAATAGCAAGAACAATAAGCTTGAAGCCTCAATACAGTGAGATGTTAAATTCGTTAGGCATGAGAGTGGTGATGGAAGGGGGAGGGAGGGACCGAGGCTCCTAGAATGAAATAACAATAAAGCCTGAGCTAAAAAATGATACTAAGAAAGGCTGCATATGGCCCGGCAAAACCCCCCTACATATTACAATAAAAGGCATCAAGAAGAATAATAGCACAGTGTCAGTTCAATAGACATGTCCACCATGATACCATGAGAAAATCCACATGAGTCACCTCCTAGGTTGCCACACAGGATTCCTTGACAACGTAAACATTCGGCTTTTGCCAGAAAATGGTCACTACTTCTGGATGTGTGAAATGGTATTGGGCACACCATACTGTAGAAGGAGGCGTGCAAACGACTTGCAACAGCTACATATGTATATAAAATGTATACAGAAGTATGCAGTCACTTCACAGATTATGATACCTCACACTTTTGAAGTGCACGCGTCCCACTTCTCGAAGCAGTCCACGACACACAGCGCAACATCAGACTTTGAACAATAGAAAATGGGGCTCATGCATTTCTCATTTAGTGACACATGACGTCTTTGTTTCCCTTTGGTTGGCCAGTGTTGTGAATGTTTCACCTCCAGTCGACTAGTTGGGCCCCAGATGAACTGAGGTTCCCCTGAAAAACGCCACTGACCATGATATTCGTTTGTGCAATTAAAGAATCATCTTGGGGGAGGGTTTCCAGCAAAATCGAATAAATTATGTTGACTGACAAAGTGACACTATCACCTGTTAGTAACACTCGCACAATAGTGATGCAAAGTAATTGTAATATTAGTCAAAAAGAGTGCCAGACGGACACTGATACCAAAAGTCACAGTGATGAAGATGCTTTTTACTCACAAAGTAATACCGGCTCAATGGGTTTATAGCCCTTCTGACACACAAAATAAAATATTGTGACGTATTTTCGCTATGCAGACACCCCACCCCCTCAACCCCCAGCGGTGACATAACAGCATCGGAGCAACAGCGGCTGCTACAGTTACAGGCCAGTAAACATTCTGCCCTCCCCCCGTGGTGACATAACAGCACTTCCCACTGTGACATAACAGGGGACACCGCCGTTAACACGAGGCAACAGAGAACGGTATAAAAATCTGGCTGAGCAGTATGTGAGCAGAGTGTGTGATCAGGAATGACACAGTGTGGATTGTGTAGTCGCGGAGAGCAGTGGAAGTAAATTGTGATACTGCCGATGGCAGTAATTGTGTAACTGTTAATTGTATAAGTATGCAAGCAAATGTGGAATAAACTCACTATATTCAATATGGCGTGAAGTTATTTGTTGCGTTATATACCCAACACGTGACAATATATAAAGAACTATATGACAGTCTGACACTGACTTTCAAACTGACGAAGAAATATATGACAATGCAACACTGACTTCCTAACTGATAATTTGCTACTGAAAACCAATCCTTGAATATGTCACATTTCCTTGAAAGCTCTGGAAGCACTGACATGCCAGCACAGATGAATATTTACTCCTCAGTTCTCAAAACAAAGCTGGGCTCTATTTGGCTGACCACACCACAAACAGTCATATCTAAATGTAAATAGTATCAAAACCAGTACCATTATAAACAATTTCATTGTTCAGAGCTAACGAATGAACCACCGACATGAACCTGCATGGGTTTGTTTTGGTTTCAAACCCAAGATCAAACTGTCACCACTCCCAAAGGGAGCAGGAGTCCTGTCATGTCTATATATAAATATATAACATTTTGCGAACACAGGGTGCTACTTGCTGTAGATATATATAACATTCATCTGTTAAAGGTTAAGGGTTAATTGGAACCCCTTCTGCTGGTGCAAGGAATGTCTAAGTGTAGGGGGACAGCATTTTCAACACTTTTTGTGACCTGTGAATTGTATACTTCATTCCACAAGTTACTGGCCACAAGCATACTGATTCATTGCCAAAATTTGTATGCGCCTTGCAGCCAGCAGTGTGTCAGTCGCTGTGAAATGCAGAGCTGTAAACAGGCCANTTCAGGCTCATTGAGGTTAGAAAGTGCTGCATAGCGATTAGCAGTCGAAGGGAACTGTCCACTATGCTGTATTCCAATTGTATATTCCATTTCACCACAATTGTGTCAATACACTTGTATTAGGATGTGTTGCCAACACCAGTTCTTCACTATTGCTTTCTACACCTTTTACACATTCTTTGCATCTAATGTTCAGTCACCTTTCTGTCTGAGAGAAAGCAACAAAAGAATCTGTCATGACAACCAGTCACCTGATAGCAGGTGCAGGGGTAACTCTAACGGTGTCAGGTATATTAAATTTACTTCAAACAAAGGGCAACAGTTAACATGTGTCTATATTCAGTCACACATTGTCACACATCTTTAGAGAATCATTAGTCATCCTGTTACAAATCCTCAACATAATGACACCTCTATGTTATTACATGGATACAGACTGCATGGGAGACAGAAAACAAATGATAACTTCAGCATTTATAGATCCTGGGAACTCTATGATGTAGTACCAAAGCACTGCTTCGGGGAAGCGACAGACAAGGAAAATCTGAAGAATTTTTCCTGTAGAGAATTTACCGCAGACATTCAGTTTATACAGTACTTCATTTCGTCTATCAGATCTGCTCAAAAGAAAATGGGACATCACAAGCAACATTCTACAAGCTACAGTTGCCTGGAGACATTTCAGGAAAAAGAAACCTTCAGAATCTAGTCAACAGCGCAGTGGAGTTGTTTCATGTTCACAGACAAGACAAGCAGCATTTCTGCACATTTGTGTCATCTGCCTAACAGTGCACATACAGCTCACCTCAGGTTCAGCCTTTATTTCAGGAAATGTTAGTGGGACAGGATCCTCTTCCTCATCTGCATCTGAGGCTGCCTCAGCTTTTACATTCATGGCCTGATTTGCATCATGAGGTGTTGGGCATCTCTCACCATATGGACCCACTGAAGCATTCTCCAAATTTCTACAGTTCTGTAAAAACCATCATATCCTTCTCAGAAATGGATGCACAACACCACACATTAAAAAGGCGTATGCTCTCCTTGCTATGGCTGTTTCTCGTAACATTAAACTCATAAGAGCTGTTCTGTATAGATGTTCTTCTCTACAGCTATCACGATCACTAGAAAGTACTCGGTTCATAGCTCAGTGACCTTCCCGAGAAACTATCAGTCACAAGGGCAGTACAGAAAATATCTGTTTTGGTACCTAAAAACATCATAATAAAGAGCTCCACAACTTGTAACCTTCATTCACCAAGCATAATTACATGATCAAGTCAAGGAGGATGAGATAGGCAGCTCATATAGCAGGCATGGGGGAGAAGAGGAATGAATACAGGATAAGTTGAGAAAGCCAGAAAGGGCTCATTACTGTGATCACACATGCTCATCACGGCTCTGTATCCTAAAGGAAACAGACCCAGTACAAACCCTTCCAAATTATTTCTTTCAAATCCACACTTAGGTCTCCCAAGTGGTCTGCTTCGCTAGGGTTTTCCCTCCAAAACTTTGTATGCATTTCTCACTGTTGCATGTGCACTACATGACTTACCCACATCGCTCTCCTTGAATGCATTGCTCTCCTAAATAATATCCCAAACCGTTATCACCCAAGTGTATGAAAGTCCCCACGTGTATTATGCAAACAAACAGAAGTGTGTCACATAATATTTAGTTTCTTTGGCCAAGACAACTGACATACAATAAAATTCATGTCTGTGCACACAAGCATGAAACACGCAGAATTCTTTCAGGAAACATTTCTTCAGCTCTATACAGTACAATTTTTGCCACTCTTGTTACAAGAGAATGCAGAATCTTGTGTAACCTTGAAACCTGTTCATCACATGATAAATATCTTGTGGGGTTCATTGGAATTAGCTCACAAGAGTCCTAGTAACTTATTGGTTCTAACAAGTGTATCACTAACTAACTGAGAACAGTTCCGTGACTCCCTAAGGATTTTTGCTGCTATAGAATTTCTCTAAGATACAGTTCCGTTTATGCAAAATTTAATTTCATCTGCATCAGAACTGCTTAAAAGGAAACAGAAGCGGTACATCACAAGCAGGATACATTCGACAAACTATAACTGTCTAGAGACACTTCAGAAAAAGGCCTTCAAAGGCGAGTCAGCAGCACAGTGGAGTTGTTTCAAGTGCACAGACAGACAGAAATAGATGAGAAAGACAACTGAAATTCCTGCCTACTTGTGATATCTGCCTAACAGTGGACATACATTAACATACAGCTCACCTCAGGTTCAGCCTTTATCTCCTGAAATGTTATTCGTACAGGATCCGCTTCCTCTTGCAAGTCTGAGACATCCTCGGCTTTAATATTCATTGCCTGGCTTGCATCATGACTTGCTGGGTATGTCTCACCATATGGACCCACTAAAACGTTCTCTGAATTTGTACAGTTCTGTAAAGGCATCACATCTTCTGTCAGTCATGGCTGTACAACACCACACTTGAAACAATATATATGCTCTCCCTGCTGCAGCTGTTTCTCATTACATCTAACCCATAACAGTTGCTCTGTACAGATTTCTTCTCTACAGACTTCATAATCTTAGCAAGTGTGAAGTTCATAATGCAGGGACCTTCCTGAGAAACCTGTGGTCCCTGTGGAAGTACAGACAATACGTATCTGCTCTTTATGGAACCTAAGCACTCATTATTGTGTTCACACATGCCCATTATAACTTTGCATCCTGACACAAACAAACACAGTCCATAACCCCATAATTGTACCTTTAAAATGCATCTCCACAACTGTCTCCCAAGTGATCTCATTCTTTCAGGTCTTCTGTCAAAATTTTTGTATGCATTTCTCATTCTCACATGCTTGCTATATGACCTACCCATATCATGATCTGAACAGCCATTCACAGGACCTGAAGCAGCTTGCAGCATCTCAATTGGAGTTGCCAACAAAGCCAACAGGCACTAGACTGATAGAAACCATAAAAAATACTGGGAATTCATAATTGGACTTAGACAGGCAAAGGGTTTTATAGTAGGACCCTCTGCCAGAAGAACGAAAGATCTGTTGAGATTATACAGAGATTAATTAAGATGGGTGGTAGGATTACTTACCAGACACTACCACCAGAAAGGACACCTTTACAAGTTGGGACTGACAGACAACCCAACATGTGAAAATGAATCAGCAGCACACATCCTGTGTGATTGTGGGGCCACAGCTTATTTAATATTTTGTCACTTGTGACTATTATAATGGCCCTATAAGCAGGGTCCTACACTTTATTAAAAATGTAGGATTAATAAAGGGCTAATCCAAGGGGAAACAGAACAGTTCATTGAAGGTCGCAGTGCCAGGGGCGGTCTTTATGGCCTAACCCTTACATACATACACACACATACATAACCATAACACTTCCTTGAATTGATCCTTCTCCCACAAAATAATGCAGATTGTTACAATATGAAGAACCATGTAAACTTCCTACATGGATTACGAAAACTAACACAAGCTTGGCATAAAAAGTTTAGTTTCTTAAGATATGAGAATTGACTGATGACAATAAAATTCTTGTCTGTGCACACAAGCACAAAACACTCACCATCCTTTCTGTCACAGCAGGAAATGTTTCTTCAGCTCTCTGTAGCAGAATTCTCGGCATTCCTGTTGCAAGAGAATGCAGAATCTTTCATAACCTTGAAACTTAATTTATCACACGTGGGTAGAAAATTAATTAATATACAAGAATCCTAGTGATATTGCATCACATTTCTAACAAGTGTACCAGTAACTAGCTCTGAATATTTGCCCAAGTCTGTAACATACTAATTATTTTGAACATACACACTAATGTCGACTTCTTTGCCCTTACAGCAGAGACCGGTAGAGACCGGCAGTGAGCAGCCGCTTGAACCCTTGAACCCCTTGAAAACGGTCACAACCGTCACAACCAATGAACCAATGAACGATGAGGGCAGTGAGCGCAATCAGTGCCAACACGTGAACGGTGAGCGCAGTCAGAACTACAAATACAAATATGAATACATTCTTTGCTGTGTCTGACCTCTGGTGGTGAAATGATAAATGAACCGTTGTACTCAAAGTGGGTGTGACGTTATGTAGTGATCAGTGGACGTTATTGAAACGGCCACGGTTAGCAACTTTTTTTTCTAATCAAAATTTTGATTCTTGAATAAAACAGTGTATATTTTGTTTGCCTTTATTTCGCTGGAGTTCATTTGACATGTATTTCCAAGTGTCGAGTTGCTGTTGACGATTGTTTGTGGTTAAATTAACACTGATATTTGTTTTGTTCGTTCTAACTGGTAGCCCTCCTACAATAATGGCAAATTGGATTAACGTTACCCCAAGGTTAATATATTTTGTGGGCAATCTTTTAAATAAATAATGCTTTACTTTTAAAATTCCACCGTGAGTTGTCTATCCAAATGTTTCTTCCACATTATTTTTAGTTTGAGGAGAGCTGTTGATCTAATAAACAATTTAGATGCATCAAAGTTTCCACTTCTTCTGAACCGCATCACCCAAGCAATGCAAAACGGTGCTACCAATGAGAAGGCCTTCAGTAATGAAGAGGAAGAGAAGTTGCAGGTTTCACTTGGCCTGCAGAGGTCAGACCTGAAACTACTCCTTCAATCTACCACATTCATTATAGAACAGGTACTGGCTTTTAATTTTATGCTTGAATTTCTATAAGGGGACCTGGTGGCCTCAGTATGATTTTGGACTCTCAGTCAGAGAGTTTTGAGTCTGAGCTCTTTAGCAAATCTTTGCATGGATTTTTCTTCTGGGAGATTGCAACTTTCGCCTCTAAGGTAAAGCTATCCATGTAACAGGCTGTGAAAGCCCATAGAGTTGTGAGACATTTCCTAGACAGATGGCAGTGAGGTTATCAGCCTTATGCACTGGCTCCCCTTTACCCCCAGGTAGATTCCAGGTACTAATTTCTGTCACAGGCTGAGTCGGAACACGGCTGCAGTGCAGCTGGTAGGATTAAAACAATTGAAGATTCCAATGACATCATCGGGAATCGAACCTGTTACCTTCTGGCTTTTAGCATAGTGAACTTTCACCTCTACCAAAGATAAAACTCTGGGAGTGTGTAGAATATCAGTGTTCCTCTCCCCAGTGGTTTGCAGGCCACATGAAGCCGTGTGTACTGTCTGCCCATTATTCTCATGATCACCCTATCAGTGAGAGAAAGGATTTGCTCTGTGGGTTCTGACATGTTACACGTGAATTCTAGAAAGTTGCATGAGTGGACAAAGGCTAGAGCGTCAGAGAAGTCAATACTGACACTACACACACACACACACACCATACTTTATTTCTGTTTATTTACTCTGAAGCATGTGATTATTTTGTGTTTAAGGCTGCATATTACATGACAAAACCATCAGTTCTGCAGAGACATCTGTCAGATACATTGAAGCTTAATGATGACAAGTCTGAAGCATTTGTAAATGCCTGGATAAGTTCAGCAAAGGGAATTGTGGAACATCTGCGACAGAGGTCTTTGTTTCCAGCACAGGTTGGTGAACTGTCAGAAATAAGTTCTTTTAGTCTGTGACAGCAAACTAGAGCAACAGGTCTCATTAGATTGTATGTTCACCCATTATGGTCTTAGAAACAAGTTGTGAAGTTTAATTGATATATGAATCAGGAAATGGTGGTGATAATCATTTTATATGTCAAATTTCAATTGAGGAAGACAACAGATCCTGCAAAGCCCTGATGCTATTCAGTGTGTTAATTTCAGTGAATTATCCTCATTATAAGTACAATATATTTTACTGTGGATTGCTTACAGCTTGAAGATGTCAGATGGTCTCTCAACCTTCAGACTGCTTCTGATTCGCAGACAAAGCAGGTCATTCCAAAGGCAGTGTTTCAGTTTGGACTGAAAACCAATGAAAACTCTCGTGAGAACGTGACAGTTGGGTTTACACATGAAGAAGTATATGAATTCTATAAACATCTTGAAACAATTCAGAGCCAGCTGGATGGACTGCATTGAATGTTTAGCTATTTGCATTACATTTTGTTTAGGTGGAAAAGTGATTTTGTGGTACAGAACAGGAAAAACATATCGGATATTTTCATGTACATGTACAGCAAAACTGCTTGTTGTATACATTGTATCTCAGGAGATAGAAAAAAATATAAGCACTAAAACACATGCTGTTTATATATACCTTGAGTAACACAATTTTGAGCCATAGATATTTTATGTATACAGCATATATTATGGGAATAAGGGTGCATCATTGTCAATTAATGATGTGGACTGTTGCATCATAAGAAAGTTAACGGATGTTATTTTCAACATACTTCTGGTATGCTTATACCATTAGGAAGTTCATACATACTATCATGATTTTAGTGTATGTATGTATTTATTTCATCTCTATAGATCATTGTTACATGATATAGGACAAGTCAGTTACTGATTACAATAAGAAAATAAAGTTACAATACTTAAAATTGTTTACAGTAGTTTACAATAGTTAAGATTTCACATAGTGTGAGGTGGAATCCATATTAGGTCCCTCGGCACATCGGCTTCAATATGTCCTGTTGTGTCTGTTCTGGTGATAATGTTTATGGAGAATGTGATGGAATGAGGATTGGCAGGGGAAACCGAAGTACTCGGTGAAAACCTGCCCCAGCACCATACAGGGTTTGGATTGACAATTGGATTTATTGAACTCTAATAAACCGTAACTACAAACAATTACAACTCGCTCACTAAACCAGCAACAGGGCATTCTGTAGGAGCCAGGACCCCTCCCTAAGGGAAGAAGAGACTATCAACAGGTTAACTGCTGGCACTGTAGGAACTGGAGAGGTGACTGCTAAGATGCCATGTTTTGGCATATGTGTGCCATATTAAACATATATAATTAAGAATACTGTCTTGTGGGATGCTGTGCATTCTGGTAGAAGTTTATGAGTGTTCTGGAGGAACATACTTCCTCCATTTTCTGTAATGTGGTGCCATGTTGTCTGGTAGAAGTTTACTCATGTTCCAAACTTCTGTACCAAGTTACATGGTGTCAAGCTCCAGAAGACAGTGCTATGCATATCACATACTAATGGCATGTATTTGCACCCTTACAAAGATAACATGGGCATATGTGAAGACATGACCAGCTATGTGATAGGTAGATACTTTCACAGAAAGTCTTTCTCCTAAGGTAATGTGCTGACATACTACAGCTGCTAAAGGGAACATTATTCTATGATTAATCCTACTGATATTTAATTGATTCTGTCACGTTTTATTGGGTGTGTGCACATGAGCCCCATCATTTCCAGTGAACACCAGCTCTAATGTAACAGTTACCTTTGTCCCTGGAGACTGACAGAATATATTCAGACACCCATTTTGAGTAAATCCCTAGTCACCATGTCATGGAATGTCCTGAAGTCTGGAAAAAGGTAGTTTTCCTTGTGCTTAAACCCATTCCATGAATACATGGGGGAGTGGAGGATCCCTTTGCATTCTTGAGCTCAGAACTAACTGGAAGTGACTGGTCAACTTTAGGTCATGCCTGAAAACAGATTAGAGATGCAGCTTCACAATATAAAATCAATATTCAAACTTGCCTCCCAGCAGACAAGGCTTAAAACATAACTTTGGAAATATCGTTATGATTAAGATAAGCGAGAGTCGTGGTGACAATGGATCTTTCGGAAATAACTTGAATGATTTACGTGGACCCCATTGAAGTACCTACTGAACCGGGAAGTTTGTGGTGGCTAGTGATTTTTCCTCGTTCTCCGTGTCTTGGTACCCCGTATTAGCGAATGAGGTTAAGTCACGCTGTCCTGACTGTCCTGACTGTCCTGACCTTGGTAACCTCTTGTGTGAGCCCTTGGAACCAACAATTACTAGCGATGTTTTGCTGTCGGTGACCCATAAAACGATAGTTTTTGATAAATTTTATCACTATTATCCCTAATTAGGAAAACTGAAAGGCGAAAAATTAATTACAACGCTCTTTCATATATTTGAATTATTCGATAGTTTGCAACAATCGAACTGTTCGATAGCATTTTATCGATTTAATCAATGAAACGATCTGACGTAAAGTTTGGAGGGTCTGGAGGTGGAAATATGATAATAAATTTTGCAGTACGTAAATTAATTGCTACAAAATAACAGTCTTTACCATTCGAAAAAGTGTGGATACTCGAAGTAACTTAACGGCAATTATTAATATTTGGTATGTTAAAAATAAAGTGTCTTAAGTATTGAACAGATCTTTTGCTGCTGAATTGTGGAATGTCATTCTACCTACCTCAGTTGCATGGTGCAAATTATACCAGCTCAGAATTTTTTATTTCTGGTTCTTGTACAGTGGAAATTTAATTATCGTAGTAGACAAACATTGTTTGAATTTATAATAAATATGGCAGCAAATTGCAGTAAATATAATGTAAACATTGTGTTGCACAGTGGTTAGTAAGTGTTGAAGTAGGCTAATATGCATAGGAAATATCAGTTGTTTCTCTCTCTTGCCTAAAGTATTTCTTTATCGTCAGTTAAAAATTGATAGCCTCCCGATATTAACTATAGACAGTGACAAAACGTATAGGAATTAAATGCCTGCATGTGGAACTGCACAGATATATTACTTGGCAAAAATCACCCAGCTGCACTGCAAGGAACAATGGCACCTCCTAATTTGTATCCAGTTTTATATCTGCCTTTGTATGTTGTTTCCAGCATTTCAATGTGACAAGATGCAGTGAGATCGAGTTTTACAAGAGAATGTTTCGTTTTCTTGTGGGTATATTTTCTTAGTATTTGGCCCATCAGATACATACTGTACCAAAGACAGCTTTGAGAAATGGGCCCATTGATTCTAATCTTCTTCACCAGCCGTTTATAATTTTCATGTATAATCTGTTTCAACAGAGATGTTGTGACAAGAGGTTGGAGAAAACTGCACAGTGAGGAGATTCATAACTTGTACTCTTCTCCAAGTATAATTAGAATGATCAAGTCAAGGAGGATGAAGTGGGCAGGTCATGTAGCGCAAACGGGGGAGACGAGGAATGCATATAGGATATAGGTGAGAAAGCCAGAAGGAAAGAGACCACTGGGAAGATCAAGGCATAGGTGGGTGGATAATATTAAAATGTATCTTAGAGAGACAGGATGGGATGGTATGGATTGGATTCATCTGGCTCAGGATAGGGACTAGTGGATGGCTCTAGTGAACATGGTAATGAATCTTCAGGTTCCATAAAATGCTAGGAAATTCTCAAGTAGCTGCAGAATTGGCGGCTCGTCCAGAAGGGCTCAGCTCCATGAGTAAGTAAGTATCTGTTTCAACCTCAAAATTCATTAACACTTCAAACCTTGCTATCTTCCACATCTCCCTGTTCCCCCATTCATACCCATTACTACCTGCCTGATACCCTTAGCATCAAACTGAAAACAAGTGTCAGAACTGCCCACATTCAAGCAAACATTACAGCGACAACGCAAGTATCATTGCTTAGCAACAGTGAGTAAACACCGGTTGCTAGGCAAAGCCTACAACAATACGGACAGTGGTGTGTTTTTTGTGCGGTCCGATACAACGTGATGTAAGAAGAATTCAATTCTTCGAGTTCATGTGTGTATACTGTGCAACTATAATAAATAATTACGGAATAATTCAACAAGTGGTTGTCCCTTCATACATCAACATCCAACACAGGTATCTTGTAAACATTTTCTGTACATGTTAATGAAAATTCATCACAGATGTACAACATGTAATACTTGCAGCATTTAAAAATTGTAGTATTGAACATGGAAAAGATAATCCTCAAAATACACACAAGAACAAACATGATGGTAAAGATATTGTCTGCTTCTTTAGTATGAAGATATGCTTATTTTGAGTCAAACTACAAACATGTAATTCATAATGCTTTGTATGTATATAAATATTACTCATCATCATCAGTAATCTGTCAAGACGACAGGTCCACAGTCTCTTCCAAAACAATTCCTCCATTTAATGCGATCTAGAACTTTCTCCTTCAAATGACAGTATCCTCTTCTGTCCCCAAGGTCATCCAGCATCTTCTTACGTCTTCTTGTCACTTCTATCTGCCCCTCTATCTTTCCTTCGATAACTTCTTTTAGAAGGCAGTTTCTGCGTAAAACATGACCAATCCAATTAGCCTTCCGTTTTATTATTTCGTGTAGGATATTCCTCTGCTCACTGACTCTAATTAACACTTCTTCATTTCTCACATAATCGGTCCAACTGATCTTCTCCATCCTTCTCCAACACCACATTTCGAAAAAATATTACTATCTAATTGGAAACATCAGAATTAAGCTATGAAAATTATATACCCTCATGCACTCACTCATTGAGCTGAGTCCTTGAAAAGCCGCCAGTTGTGTAGCTACCACGAACTTCCCAGCATTTTATGGAGCCCAAAGGTTCATTACTGTGTTCACAAGAGCCTTCCCCTGGTCCCTATCCTCAGCCATATCAGTCCAGTCCATACCATCCCATCCTGTCTCTCTAAGATCCATTTTTAATACTGTCCACGCACCTATGCCTTGGTCTTCCCAGTGGCCCTTTCCAGCAGGATTTCCCACCAATATCCTATATGCATTCATCTTCTCCCTCATTCATGCTACATGCCCTGTCCATCTCATCCTCCTTGACTTGATCATTCTAATTATACTTGGAGAAAAGTACAAGTTATGAAGCTCCTCATTATGCAGTTTTCTCCAGCCTCCTGCCACTTCATCTCTCTTTGGTCCAAATATTCTCAACACAAAAATTCTATACTAAGCCATGTAATTACACCTACCATATTGTTGAATTATATAACTACTGTTACTCCAGTCATATAAGAAAAGTTCATAAAACAAGTGATTTTTTTAATGGTTCTGTGTTCTGGGATATAATACAATATAGGCTGTGACACTTTGGAGGATCACGTTACCTTCATCTTCAGGGCTGAAAAGTAGGATAAGGAAGAAATGAGCATGACGCTGGCAGCAAGCAGCACTCTTGCTTGGCTTATTCTTCAGCTCTGAGAGAAGTTCCTACAAAGTGTTAACTTTGGCACTACTACACTGTTATATAGAAGACAAAAAAAAAGTTTATAGTCACAGCTGTGAGAACCTCAAATCCCATGTTATGTGATTCGCTTTATTCAGGTCCTGAAGTATATCCCACACATACCTCTGTGCAAAACTGAACCACTTGAGTGTTCTTCAGTCCCTGCATGTCATTCACATAGGAGATTCTTTGCTCTGGAAATAAATGTATGGGAGAACTAATGAGTCAGTTGTGAAATGTTCAAACCAGTAGGTACAAGGTGGTTCAAATATGACCGGGACTGATTTGTGTGTAAACAAGGCGCACTGCACAGCAGCTGTGCGACCTTTAGAGAGTGAAGCCCCAACATCCACCCTCCCTCTTGTTTGGGTTAGAACCTGTTCAGTCCTGTCTGTGAGTTGCTAAGAGTGATGAGCGAACAGAAGGTAGCGTGGAACAATGCATTGTGATCAAATTCCTTGTTGGAGAAAATGTCCCGTCTGCTGAAATTCACCACAGACTCGAACAGTATGGGGAAGTGTGTCTCTCACAGACCCATGTGTTTGAGTGGTGTAAGTGCTTCAGAGAGGGCAGAGAATGCATGGAGAATGAACCGCATGAACGTTGGCCGCAAACATTGATCGTGCAAATGCGCTTATTCGTGAGAATAGGCACATCACTATCAAGGAACTTGGAGCAATGCTATCCATCAGTGTTGGTAGTGTAGAAGACATCGTGAAATACCACCTGCACTATCACAAGGTGAATGCACGATGGGTACCACGCACTTTAACGGACATGAACAAAATGGTGGGCATGCAAGCTGCTAGTCGTCTCCTACAGCAGTTTGAAGATGAAGGTGATGCATTCTTGAACTCTAAGAGTGACCACCGATGAAACGTGGGTGCACTACTTCATTCCCAAGTCCCAGCAGTCATCATGCGAGTGGTGGCATACCAGTTCTCCCAAACCCAAGAGAGCATGGAGGAGCCATTCAGGAGGAAGAGTGATAGCAACATTCTTCTGGGACTGGCAGGGGGTTATTCATGTAGACTTTCTGACAGATGCCAGAACAGTCAATGCAGCTTATTACTCAGACCTCCTGGCAACAGACATGAAGGAAAACTTCCGATCCAAGTGAAAGACAGGTGGAAAGTGGGTAGCCTTCCTTCAAGACAATCCACGCCCCCCATACGGCCAAAACAATGAAAACCCTCTGGACATTGAAATGGAACCTACTGACACATCCGCCATACAGTCCCAATTTGGCCTCAAGTGATTTCTACCTGTTCAGAAGGCTCAAATCAGACTTGCAAGGCATGCGGTTTGTGGACGACGCCATCATCCAGTCTGTTCGGGAGTGAATATGCCACCAACCACAAGCCTTTTTTGAAAAGGGCGTCAGGATGCTTCCAAAACATTGGAATGACTCCGAAAGGGAGTACGTTGAAGACTGACATGTGCAAGTAAGTGTTTGGCAATTATGGTTTAAAAAAAAATCAGTCCCGGTCATATTTGACCACCTTCTGTATACTCCAACAAATATTATTATGGCTCTTCTCAAGCCCATGACATGATGTTTCCAGTGAAAGCCATTTTGTACTATTTACTCAGAATCTGGGAATTCACTCTTCCAGTACTCCCATGTTTTCAAATTATCTCTATTAGTGCTTAAAATAGATTTTGGAGTGTCAATGTGTAAAGTTATTTTATAGGTCTTGTATTCAAAGCAAGAAAAGTGGTGCAAGGGGAATTTATTTTCCATTGCAACAGATTTGCAAAATAATATTCTTATTACTCTAAAAGTTGATGCAATCCAAAACATGTGGGGGGGGGCTACTTGTAGCCTGTGAAAGAATTGTATTATAAGCATGCAGAACAAAACAGACCCTAACAAGAAGTTGCTTCCAAAATTTCATAATGAGATTTGTGTTTCAGTCATGGTGTGTGTGCCGTGCATTGTCATACCATTCCTCCTTTTCATATGGCATCGTTATATTCAACCAGTCGTACTTAAGTTCTGGAATCCATGGAAAGCAGTAGAAACAAAGGAAGAACCACAGTTATCCCCAGCAACGCTTGAAAACAAGAACAGTGAAGAAAATGGTACTTGTCCTATTGCAACCGAAGAAAAGAAAACTATATAATATGAATTTATTTCACAACTTCTATCATTCCTAATAAAATAAGTATTATGCTAGAATGTACAGTTCTCGTTAAATGCAATATGTAAATGTTTATAGTAGACCAGTCTATATAAAACATGTCTTTTATTAATAGTTTCATCTTTTACATAGCACAATAACATCAAAAACAATGATGATAGCTGTTAGTAATTATGCAACAAACTATGAATAAAGTTGTAGTTTTGTACATGCAAGTTGATTTATCTTCAGTATCATTTCTTCATTTTACACAAAGAGCAAGATACTAATATTCCAGCAGCTGCTTCATGTTATGCTCTTCCACTCACATCCACATTTCAATAAGTCACCTGTGTCTCAATTAACTGTTTTGAGTTCAATATCAAAGACCAGTGTACTGTTTGATGGAATGGCTGGTGGTGAACCTTTGCTGCCATAACTGCATGAAAAAAAGAAGCAAGAAATTGATAATGGCCACTGCACCTGTCATGAAAGCATACCAATTAAGCTACATGTTCTAGATCTCTTTGGAAAAAGAGAGGGCAGCCTGATGCTATAGCTGCTTAACCCCACAGAAAGAGACCGAACCCACTGTATAAAAGGCTGAATGGATCATTATACTGACACGCTGCAACCCACACAATATCACTGGCAACGCCATTAAAATGCACTTCATAATGAATATACCATAACACTGTGTTGTAACAAACAATTCAATGTACAAAGAACTGCCATAAAGTTCTATTGTCGTCCTCTTGGTTGTGACACCATGTGGTCTTGCAGGAGGGCACCAACAGCTGCACCCATCAACACTGACTATTTTGAAAATGATACGGAAGGATGAAAGATTTTCCTTTAAAATTTTTAAAAAAAAATTAGGACATGTACAATGTTCAACTTTCTTAAAAATACTATTACTATGCAAATCTAGCCTAGTACAAAGCTACAGCACTCAGTTAATTCTCATCGACAGCAGCATGTATTTATTTATACAAATTATCCTTTCAGGTTCTTATAATATATAATTCTGATGTACCAGAATAAAAAAGAAACTGGCAACAACTGCTGATCTTCCCCATGTCAGATCCACTGTATACAACTGACATGTGCTTCCCACTGTTAAGGCTACTTGGTCTGTAGCTGTTATTGCAACACANGAGGGAGGGAGCGCTTCGTTACCGCCACGCACCTGTGGCCTGAGTCGCCACGTTGCTGCTGGGTAGGGAGGGGGTCTCCGTTCCGCAACATGTCACAATATATTACTTCTGATTCTTCCATGGCATATTATAAAATCAGTCAATCGTAATATTTTTACTTGTTTTCCTTTCATTCCTTTAATGGTAAAAAATCTCATTCTTATATGACTAATTCCAGCCACAAGTAACCTGCATTCCTTAGTTCTCTAATGGCCCATGCTTCATAGACAGAGCAATGTTTATCAGGTACATAAATTTTGAATGTGCATACATCTAAAGACTAATGAAAGTTTGAAAATTTGGTTTATGGTACTCAGAATTTTTATGAACTTTTTACACTAGGTCTATATTGTCCTTAATAATGCTGACTGCATTGCAGATAACAGAATTTTTTGTTGAGGTGCCGTACACTTCCAGCTGGTTCCTTCACGAACGTAACCCTCACTCACTCATGGACCTTAGTACTTCTTGAGATGCCACCAACTGTGCAGCTACTCAACAACTTCCCAGCATTTTAAGGAACCCAAAGGCTCATTATAATGTTCAGAACAGCCATCCCCTGGTCCCTATCCCAAGCCAGATCAGTCCAATCCATGCCATCCCATCCTATCTCTCTAAGATTCATTTTAATATTGTTAACCCACCTATGTCTTGGTCTCCCCAGTGGCATCTTTCCTTCTGGCTTTCCCACTACTATCCTACATGCATTCTTCTTGTCCCCCATTTGTGCTACATGCCCTGCCCACCTCATCCTCCTCGACCTAAACATTCTAATCATACATGAAGAAGAGTACGAGTTATGAAGCAACTCATTATGCATTTTTTCTTGAAAGTAACCACAAATATAAATTCAAAGACAAAAACAAAATAATAATAGATATAATTAAAACAAACGTGAATTCTGCAGTGCAGTGTTCTACTTACGCCAAAGCAGGAGGACAAATGATCCTCCTTTTCCCACCAACTTTCATTCCACTCACTCCAATGTCCCAACCTTTTATTACTTCACCACGACCAAGCCGGAACTTGAAACCAGAGCCCTGAGTTGCTGAGTCAAACTGCTTATTGTTGTGTTTCAAACGCCCAACAAAATACACGGACACCTGTTAAATAATCACTATCACAACACAATCCATTCTGTAATAACAAAGGCCTACATTAGACAAGAGAGTCTGAATTACTTAAATCCAGTCCACATCCTCATAATCCATTTCCAAAATACCCATTTTAACCCATTGGCTAATAGGAGCCACACTGAAAAGCCAAAGACCTACCTCCAGAGTCTCAACTCAACTCTTCCTCACAGTTTTATTCTTTTGGAAAGTTACACATGATTCAAAAGCCATGAGGTATGTCACTGAAAGAAAGGCTCAAGGGATTAACTTTCCTTCCATCTCATTCTATTAATACATGTTTAAAGCAAGTACTCACCTCTCTGCCTGGCTTGGCAACAGGACCATTGCCTACTTTGACCTCTTCAATAGTTACTCCACCTTCGAGAACCTTCTTCTGTGGTGTATCTGCACCTGGTGTCTTGGGTCCCTTTGGAGTTTCCTGCCCTTTCTTATTTTTCTTACCAGACTGCTGCTGGACTGGTATTCCCTATTAACACATTACTACATTAGAACCTGTAGTACTTAAAATGCTATTCCATTCAAACACAAACACTCATTAGACAGCTATTTCCCAGTCATGGCATTCAAAATTCCAGATGCAACAGGCCTATAAATTCCGACATTTGAAATAGGTGCCTCTCAAATGTACTGAAAGCCTAACAGGGTCCCTATCATTCATATCTCAATTCCATTCAAATATTATTCACCCAAACCAAAGCAATGTTTAGGAAGACCTCTGAAGAGCCAAAAACTGGACTACAATTTTTTTGTTCCGACTGAACTGTCCTATGACAAATAAATGACGGCTTCATGGCCAAGAAGCCATAGAAAAGAAGAGTGAATGCACATGAAGAGACAATTCCCATTCATTTTGTACACAAGACACTTCATATGATTGAATTACAATCAATCAGTGTATTTCAGCAAAAATGTGTGTACTATAAATGTACAGGGAAAGTATCAAACAACTTTTACACAAAAATAAAGATCATGTTTAGTACGATGACATTCAAATTCATATTTAATATTTCATGAAGTCCCATATTCAGTGGATATTTTTTCTGTTTTCAGACAAACCCCAATATAAACAATGTATTATATCACCAGAACTCGACCACTATTTAAATTTTCTGTCAGAAATTGTTATGCACAACCACAAGTTTGAAAAGTGATGTCAGAACTGAATGCACACTCAAGAGAAACTGTTTGTGTCACTTCACATTCTTTCAATTTTTATTTTTTTTCATTAATTACTTTAGAAATATATTTGATACTGTTATGTAACTGTTCAGAAGTTTCTTTATGTTCATTTCATACTATCTATTCATGTAAAGACATTACTTTATCATAATGACATACAGAAAATTTTATAAGAGACAATGAAGCAATTTCTTCTACCAAACTTTGCATAATCTCCATTTAGTGAAAACCTTGATTTAGTGTAAGAAAAGACATTTCCCAGCTGTTCACTGAATAAGGATTTCATTGTACCATACTTTCACATAAATTAGCTTCGTAAAAACAGGAATGAAAAAATGACAATGCAGGAATAACAAATCACTAGGGCAAGGGACTGGTGACATTTGGGTTGTAAATGTATCAGATGGCTGCAGAATAATAGCATAATGCAACGTTACATTGACTTGAGTTCCAGGGGAAGGTTTTGGAGTTCCACCCTGCTGCTGTTTTTCACTGGGCGTCTTGTTTTTCTGTTGCTGTTTCTCACTGGGTGTCTTGTTCTTCTGCTGCTGCTTCTCATTGGTTGTCCTGTCCTTCTGTTGCTGTTTCTCTTTCGGTGTCCTGTTCTGTCGCTGCTTCCCAATGAGAGATTTATTTTTCCCTTGTTGCTCATTTGGAGTCTTCATTCTTTCAGCTGCAAGCTTACTTTGCAGTATATCAGTTGGTGTCTTAATCATCTGCTTATCTTTTTTCCTAGATTCTGGTGTCCTCTGTTTGGGTGAAGTCTCAATTTCCACATCTTCACCTGTAAAGGAAGTACACAAAAGATGAACTTTTCTATTATCTTTGGCTCATAATCACTTCAAAGAGGTACAGAAATTTTAAAATGTTTCTATGGTCTAAGTCTTTATCATTTCAAAATTTCTTTCTACATCCTTCAATTTTCAGTTTTTGAGACCATAAATGCTACTGTAGTTCCCAAATTAAAATACTGTATTTGGGTCACTATATACCATATTCGTATATAAGCAACACTCAAATTTTAAAACTAAAATAAAAATATAAATTAAATCTCATTTATAAGCTGCAACAAGGCTGTTACATGAACTTCTCACCTCTGGATTACTCAACAAAACTTAAAAAAATTTAGTTTGCTAAATTCAAAAGATATATATTGTAGAAATTTGCGACAACAAATCGCAGTGCACATACTGTCATACACGTACTGTTTGACAGTCTTGCATGATCTCTCACACTTAGTAATAGCCAAAGATGGTATCAGTGATGCCATTACTACTCTCTCAATGCACAAGATATGCCACAAAATCTAACCTACAAGAAATCCAGAACACTACAGAACACAGTAAACATGGTTCTGGATCTAAGTGCATGTTCGTTGGTCGTACTGTTCTTTTATTGCAATTTATGAATGTAGTTTCATTTAGTTTTTTATATGGACTTTTGATTTTCAATAAAGTGAACTCTGAGAAGAAACTGGCAGAGGGGGAGAGTCTTTTTGCACTGCAGATACGGGCATTTTTATGGTCCATAACTCATTCAAGCAGCAATACAGTTCAACCGCTATATTTAGTATGTCTGATCTAAGTTCATGTTCAAAAACTTTCATCCCTACACGCTCTAAGGAGCTCCTCTACACTTGCATCACACTTACTTATCATCACAAATCATTCTGACATCAGATTTGTCAGGAAAATATGAGAAACATAAGAAGAATTCTTCAGATCAATTTCATCAACCAGAAAGTTACTTACTGTCATCATCAACATCATCATCATCGTCCTCATCATCTTCCTCCTCCTCATCGTCATCATCATCATCCTCACTATCTTCAGAGCCACCAGCAAAATTAAAATCATCACCATCAGATGACAATTCATCTGCAAGTTTAAAATGCAACACAACACAATTTTAGTGCAATAACCTCAAAACGAATACTTTCCATCTTTTGTATATTTCACGACAGTCATAAATACATGAATTCTTATACCAATCGTGCAGTAGTAGTTTTGATTTTAACACACACAAAAAAAAAATGCTATGCCTAAATTACAAAGTCATTCTAATTCACAGAGCACACAATTCTCAATTTTTACAGGGCGTGATTCTGATGAAAGTAAATATATTTGTGCCTCTGAAATAAACTGTGATTATGGTGTGAAATAATACTGTTGCGAATACACTGCAACATTTAATAATACCTTCATCACTTTCTGCTTCTGCGAGCTTCGCTTTCTTGTTCTCAGATTTGGATAAATGAGGTTCATTCTTTCTCTTGCCACTTCCCTTGAGCTGACTGTTGGATTCTTTCTTCCCAAATGACTCTACAAAAATAAATCATCTTTCAGTGAACATGTGAAAATCTCTCCTAGTCTTGCAAGCCAACCTGATTTCTAAGAAACATACAAAGCTGTAAAGTACCCCCCCCCCCCCTTCTACTGAGCTCTGTTCAATTGAATATCAAGTAACACCAACATTATTAAAATTAAACACCGATTTCCATGAAATTTCACATGAAAAGTATGCCACCAGAAACACTTGTAGTCTTCCGTCTATAATGTAACAATATCAATACAGATTTAGATGACACCCACATTTAATTCACTAAAATGTTTAAAAATGTCATTACATTATATATATATATATATACATACAGTAAAACTTGGTTATAGCAACATCGGTTTCTACGACACCTTGTCTATTGCGTCAAATATTCAATGGTACGAACTAATTCCTCATAAAGCAACTGTTTTTATACCTTGCTTAGTACGACATGCACAAATGCATCAACCTCGTATGTAACGTCATTTTCATTCCTGAATTTCTCTGATATGGACATTGAACGTAATTTAGAAAGTGTGTATTGGGCAAGTAACAGGAAACAGATGAAGATAACTGATTACTGTACTCGTATCTAGGTACAGTAAGGCACAACAATTGATGTAATCTACTGTAATTTGGTGAGTAGGCCTACCTTTAATATACAGTATTAGTGCGGTGTGTATTGTCAGTGAAAAGCGCTGTAATATGTCTTTGATATTACACATTTGGGCAATTCCACGTTAATGTTACGTTAGTCTGTACTTAACTACGTATTTCACTAAAAAATGCAACATTTTAACTCGGTTTTTGGTAGATTTTTACGTGACTAACATAAGGCTACTGTGGAAGTGCCCATTTCGGTTACAACGACATTCGTTTATAACGGCACTATTTTTAGGTCCCTTTGATGACGTTATAACCAAGATCTACTGTACATTCTAAGTTTATGCACTAGATGTTTCGGCAACATAGGGCCATCTTCAGGCAACACATTATTAAGGAATCCACTGCATTGAGTCCTTTATCAATAGTATTCTTAAAGTATGTCATTATTATTATTATTAATTTTGGTCTTATAGGATATTTGTTCTTACTATCTTTTGCACTGTGGCCCCTCTGTGCCAAACTGGGCATGCCGCTCCCTTGGTTGTGTATATGATGTGTTGATCTGTGTACCTTGCGCAATATTTCAATGAAACAGGATGCTAAAGTACAATATTATGCCACCAGAAGTTGTCTCACCTCAGAACATATCAGTCTACAACCGTCAATGGTATCAGTGTTATGTAAATGTCCTCTTAAGTGAAAACATTAACATCATTCAGTCTCATGGCGATATATTATTTGAAAATCTACAACTTTCACTATTCCATGTTTTAGAAAAAATGGAAAATAACAAAACAGCATTATAATTGTACAAAGTGATGATCTTAAGATTATCACTGATGAATCCCTACAGCTCAAAATGTGAAGTCCATACAGTGAACACATCTAGTAGTGGTAAATAGTAGCAGTGTTATACCACAAATGCTGGTAGGAGCAAAACTTATAAGATAAGGACTACTTAACAACTATGACATTTATGACGTTTTTTTTTCTTATTTCTTTAACAGTTGAGTTGAATAATCAACCAATTACAGAGCAGAAGTAAGATCGAAGTAAAATGTGCTGACACCTATAAAAGGAGGGGGGGGGGAGGCAAAAGTATCACTGTATCAGGCCACAGAGGCCCATAGGGTTGTGAGATGTTAAGGTTCCCACATCTTCTAGACAATCAGCTCATAGATGGCAGTAAGGTTGTCAGCCTTACGCGCCAGCCGACCTTAACCCCCAAGAACATTCCTGGTACTCATTTCCGTTAGAGGCTGAGTCAACCCCAGGGCCATAGTGTGGCTGGAAGGGTTAGGTAAATTGAAAAAATCCAATGACCTCATCAGGATTTGATCCCGTGACCATCCAGCTTGTAGCATAGTGCCTCAACCAATTACGCTACTGCGTGTTATACTAATTAGAAAACTTCATCATCACTAACAAATCCTGCATTACTAACCTGAATCTATCATGCTGTCCTCATTGTTTGTTAGGTCATCATCAACATCATCTTCATCATCATCGTCATCATCTGTCTCAAGCAGATAGCCTGTAAACATTTATGGGCAATGTCAATTCTCCTGACAATAAAACGAAACAAACTCTGTGGTTTTAGTCCGCAAGCAAACTATACCAACCAGCAAGCATTGCTTGTTGGCAAAGTTAGTACCAACTTTAGTGGATACAGGGTGTCACATGGTCAGCACAACGGATCCCCATGGCCGTTAATTTCAGTCTGACAATGAAAGGAAAGCTTATTTAACCTTTACCAGTTTGACAGTGCACTAGTGAGATGATGCGTGCAAATGGTCCAATGGTGCTACATTTTCTTTCCTAACACCATTATCCTGAAGTTAAAATTTGGTAGAAATTCCCCAAGTATCTAAAAAAACTAATTTCATGGAGCAGAATTTTGCTACTCAAGAAATTACGAACATTTTATGGAACCCAAAGGTTCATTACTATGTTCATAACAGCCCAGCACTAGTCCCTATCCTTTGGAAGATGGACTCTAGTCCATGGAGTTAAGTTATTTAATTCCCATTGATTTACTGCTTTTGGCAAATTCTCACACTTGATGAAACAGATAACAAAGTTCCGTGCCCCTCCTTTTTCAGTGCTGTAATCTAACAGAACTGAAGAGTTCTATCTTCTGGGATATAACACTGTTTAGTCCACTGAAAGTCAACTGACATTTTGCAGGAACATGTCACCTCAATTTTCATGGTTCAAGAATAAGCCAAGCAGGAAACCAACAAAAAACACAGAGTGAGTTCTAACTGGCTTACCCATCAACCCTGAAGATGGAGGAAACATGTTCCTCCAAAACAGGCATGTCAAACTCAACTTGTACAGAGGGCCACCTCAGCCCTCTAAATAATAGTCGAGGGCTGCACTTCAAAATAGAAATATACATTAGATTTTGATACAAGGAAATTTAATTCTATTTATTATTTGGGAATATTTTCAATATAATTACCTAAAGTGGAACACTTATATTTTACCCACAAATCAAACATGTAATTTTACCTTCTATTTCACAACAGAAATAAGCGATTTCCCATTTTTCTTGAAAAAACACGGCACTCACTTTCAATAGTTCTTTTTTTGCTACTTGAATTTTTTGAAAGCGACATTGCCCTTTAAAAGTTACTGTACATATACAAGAAAACTTGTAGCTGATAATTTAATGTTTAATTATAATCTTTATATGTTCATCACAACGTAACATCAGCACCTGTAAAAGAGACTACCAGACTAGTAGAAAGGTGTATCTTGTCTCAATGGTCATAAAAGTGAAAGTTTGCTAGCAGCCCACATCAGCACCTGTAAAAGAGACTACCAGACTAGTAGAAAGGTGTATCTTGTCTCAATGGTCATAAAAGTGAAAGTTTGCTAGCAGCCCATTAGACAATGACTGGGGGTTGCAAGCTAGTTTTGAAGGTAGAAATCCCGCAAGCTAGTTTTGAAGGTAGAAATCCCTTGCACTTGTCTGTAAGTTGTCACCCTCCTTGCATTCTTACTATGCCTCCAAAAGGGATTCTTGGAAATACTTGGGGTGGTGAGGCTGTGCAGATTTTAGTGCATTAACCTTCTGAAATACAATAGTTTGTCCTTCACGAACTTTACAAACCGTTAGTTGGACAAACCCTTCTGCAATTTTCAGAATCACTTTTCCTGCAGCCTGCTAATCTATGTCTTCTTGTCTGTTGGAAAATTGTCTTTACAAAAAATATTTCTACTAAAATTTTGATATTGATTTTAATATCAATTAGCTCTAAAAGTTGAGGGGCCGCATGTTTGACATGGCTGCTCCAAAACATCAGTTGGCTTTCAATACACTACACCTCATTACATCCTAAAAGAGAGAGCTCTTCATATTTACCACTGTGAGAACCTCAAATCCTAAATAACATCACAATACATCATGTTAAAAATAAACCGAATATTCTTTTACAACAACAAAAAAAAAACCAAGTGACACACAGAACTATTGTTCATGGGCATGTCCTATATCAATATATTCTGATCTATAGGATAAAATAAAAATGAATGAATGGTTAAAGCAGTATATGATAGAAATGATATGCAAGCACTAAAGGGTGTCTGAAAAACAATGGTAGGATTTCACGAACCAAGGTTTAGAAAAATTATATACATATTTAATAAATTAATATTTTACTTTAAAGTGTATCTCGAATGGTTTTGAATGTAATTAGTAAGTTTCCATATGTGTATCATTCATGACCCTGCGCATGTGTCCAATATTCTGCTTCCTGCCATACACGCTCATATCTCTTTTGTTACCTGTTCAGTGGCTTTTCTTCTTGCTTTCAAATCTTCAGTTCTGTCCATATAAATGTAATTCTTTATACAGCCCAAAACAAAAAATCAAGTAGAGTAAAATTAGGGCTTCTAGGTGGCCACAATATTTAACCACCCCTGCCAATGAGGGAATATAAAAAAGTCAAATAAATCATGAGAATGAACATGTTCACAGCATAGCACAAGGCAAAGCCAGACAAAGATATAACAGGCTTATACTTGGTGGTGAACAAGCTTACAACCATTCACGTGACTAACCTGCCATTGTAGCATAAGATATGTAAGATAGGCACGATCTGCTCTGCAAAGCCTGGACTGACAGGACACTTATTTACATTGTAAAAGAAAGAATTTTCAATAACATGCTACATGTGTGATATGTACACTTGACAAAGGCCAAGCATATTCATAAAAGACAAACCCAGCCTCTCGTCACAGAGGACGTTACACAAGAACTATGTAAGGGTTCAAACCCCCCCCCCCAAATAAAAAACTTTGCTCATGAGCCTCAAGGAGGTTAGCATCAAACTGGCCGTCATAAAGTAACTCTTGACACTGGGAATGTAGGAGTATAATGTGGTGACCCTGGTGACAACCCATGAAACTGTTTGAGTGCAGCAATGCTAAGGCATAATAATCAATCATGTCTTTGGAGACAGAGCCTCCAATGACCACACCATTACTTCTTGAACACAGTGTCCTCTCAGAAAGAGATTAAACACAGTGCCAATATCCACCTAGGGTGACAGTGCTATCAAGGGATATGACTACAATGTACTACCCTGCCCAAAAATAAGTGATCCACAGCAACTTTCCCACTGCAAATCATACTCAGAAAAAGGTACAAAGGGTGAAGTGGTCCCTGTGCTTAAGTAACTAACACATTGCGGACCGGAGGGGCCATATGGCCCTCTACGTTTCCAAGCGTTGCGGACCGGTCGGGCCATATGGCCCTCTACGGTCACGTTATGTTGCAAAACGCTATATATCGCTGTGTGGCTTCGCTGAATCGTAACTACTGCGTAGATGACCTCGGGAATGATTGCTGCCATATCTAGTAACTCGACCAGAGTCATTTCCTGTCACAACCTAAACAAAATTGGCTTTGTTCTAATCCAAGCTTGCACGTATGAACCACGCAGCTACCAGTTCAACATGGCTCAGAGATGAAAGCAGTTGCGATCTCTTGGAG